GGCCAGGCCCCCAGCTGCCTCTGACCCCTCCATGGGCCAGGCCTCCAACTGCCTCTGACCCCTCCCTGGGCCACGCCATGGGCCAGGCCCCTAGCTGCCTCTGACCCCTCCATGGGCCAGGCCTCCAGCTCATCTACAGGCATCTTGCTTCCATACCCACCATTATCTCAAAACTCCCTCGTGGGCCAAACAGCCACGGTCATGCCAATTCCCTCCCCGCCTCCCCATCGCGGACTCTCAGCACCCACCTGGGTCTCCACGGAAAGCTCCATCCTGGGCTCCTCTGGCCTGGTCGTCACCGGGCCAGATCTGGCCGGTCCTGCGGACCCCCACGATGGTGGCTTCCGCCACGACGACCTGGCCCGGCCTCGGCCGCTTCTGGGCCTGGGGGGTTGGGGGGCTGCTGCTGTCCAGAGACTGCTGAGAGTTCTGGGAAGGGGAACGGCTCTTGTCGCGCTCCAGGCGGCCCCCGGCCGTGGGGCTCGGCCCGGAGGAGAAGTCCTCCTCGCTGGAGGTGAGGTTCTCGTTGGAGCTGCAGTCGGGGGTGTATCCGCCCCCGATGTCCTCGAAGCTCCGGGGAGAGTAGGACCTGCGAGGCCAGGTGAGGGGCTTATCCTGCTCGCGCCAGGCTGCCGGCCCCCGGCCCTCGTCCCCCATCAGGCCCCCGACGTAGATGCTCTGGTAGGGCTGGTAGTCGCCGGGCAGCCGGGCGCTGATCAGGTTATCCCTCAGGAACCGGGGGTTCAGCTCGGCGTCCTCATACTCCCCTCCAGGCTCGCAGCAGCCCGCCCGGGCGGCCGGCCCGGCGGCGGTCCCTGCGGGGGCCGCGGCAGGTGGCTGGGCGGCCGGCAGCGAAGTCTTCTGGCGTTCCTGCTGCATGGCCTGGCTGCCCAAACAGCTGATCCGGTCCGAGACGTCTTTGTCATTGACCTTCACCAGCCCCCGCTCGTGGTGGTACTCCACGTTCACGTAGAAGGGCTTCTCTAGCCCGCAGGTCCCAGGGCCGGAGCGCGCCCTCTCGAAGGTGGACCTGAGAGCGGCCACGCTGGGCGGCTGGACCCGGCCGCCGCCGCCGCCGCCGCCGCTGCTGCTGCGGGGAGGGGCCCGCGGGCAGTGGGGCGAGCCCTCCGAGTCCTGCGGAGCCCGCGGGAGCTTCTCCCGGCCTCCCTTGTCGGCCGGGGGCTCGCCCTGCCCTCGGCCCTGGCCGCCGTCGCCGTCGCCCTGGCCTTGGTCCTGGCCGCCGTCGGGGGGCTCGGGCCCCGGGCAGCCCCAGCGCCGGCGGTCGTAGCTCTTCCTCTCTTTGGCCAGCAGCGTTTGCAGGTAGATCATGCGGAATCGTTCCTGGTTCACCTCCAGCTCCAGCCTCCGGATGGATGCCTGGCAGCGCTGCAGTTCCTGCTCGATGGCGCTCACCGAGCCCAGCTCCATGTGGGGAGGTTCCGAGGTCGGGAACTGAGCCCGCCACGCCTCGGCGAAGCCCACGGGGTCCACCATGGCCGCGGGAGCCCCGAGAGCGAGAGAGAGCGCTAGGAGAGGAAGGGCACCTGGGAGGGAGGGGGAAGGGGAGCTGGGGCAGGGACCCCGGCGGGCAGGGGGAAAGGCTGGGGCAGGCTTGGCTCAGAGGCCCCAAGGGGGGACCCCCAGGCCCTGCCCGGGCGGCAGAGGGGGCCAGGCCCCCATGGCCCCGCCCGCCAGCCTCCCGTCTGGACCTTCCCAGGGAACAATGCCCCCGGCCTCCCAATGAGGGGGGGGGGGGGGGGCGGGGGGGAGGGGCGATGAGGGAAAAGAACCTAGCTGGGGATGAAGGGGAGGGGCTTCTCTGGAGAAGAGGGAGCAGACAGGAGGGCAGGAGGGGGAGCGGGGCTCTGGAGGGGGGAGGGGAGCCTGGCTAGGGGCGGGGGAGGGGGGCTTCTCCTCCCCCTCCTTTTCCTCCTCCTTCTTCCTCGGTCAGCCTGGGTCTGGATCTGGGTCTGGATCTGGGTCTGGATCTGGGTCTGGGTCTGGGTCTGGGTCTGGGTCTGGGTCTGGGTCCCCGCCGGGCCTCTCAGCGTCGACTTGGTCCCGGCCCCAGCCCCGGCCCTGGCTTCAGCCCCGGCCCCAAGCTCCGCTGCCCGGTTCTGCTCCGCCCGCCTCCAGCGCAGGAAGGGGCGAGGCCTCGATGAGGCGGGGCTCTTAAAGGAGCCGAGGATGCCGCTGCCTGCCGTGCTCGCCTCACCAAGGCAACCCCTGCCCTTCCCCAGGGCTGATAGCACACAGACACAGACTCCACAGACACTCTCCCTCTCTCTCTCCCTCTCTCTCTCTCTCGCTCTCTCTCTCACACACACACACACACACACACACACACGACAGAAATGCCAGTGTTCAGCGTGCCTACCAGACTTGGACTCAGAAAGCCCCGTGTTCGAATTCTACTGAAGACCCCTACTCTGTAAAAAGGGATAGATAGAGGGGCAGCTAGGTGGCGCCCTAGAGTCAGAAGGACCGGAGTTCAAATGCAGCCTCAAACACTTGACACTAGCTGTGTGGCCCTGAGCAAGTCACTTAACCCCCATTACTTCAAAAAAAAAAGAAAAGGGATAGATAGGACAGGCGCCGGACCTCTCAGGGCATCACATGACATGAGCTCCCTAAAACCCCAGAAAAAAAGCCCCATTTACTATTTTCATCCTCTCCCATCACATCCCCTTTATCTGAGGGGAAATGAAGATTAGACTCTCCTATTGCCGTCCCTGTCAGTCCTTTCAGCCCATTTGGGGTTTTCTTGGCAGAGACACTGGAGTGGTTTGCCATTTCCTTCTCCAGGTCAATTTACAGATGAAGAAACTGAGGCAAATAGGGGCAAATGACTTGCCCAGGGTCACACAGCTAGAGTCTGAGGCTGCATATGAACTTAGAAGATGAGTTTTTCTGACTCCAGGCCCAGCCTTCTATACTCTGCACCACTCAGCTGCCCACCTTCAATAAGGGTCCCCTGGGAGGAAAATGAAGGTGTCTCACAGGCAGGCAGTAGCAGCCTGGCACCAGAAGGGGCCTGAGGGGGACTGCTCTGGTCCAAAGCCCGAATTGGATAGGGCTGGGAAGCAAGGGTCCTGGAGCTAGGGAGGCCCAGAGCTGGAATTCAAACCCTAGGCTTACCTCCTGGTCAGTGCTGAGCTGGGCAGCCACTCCTGGAGGTCTACACTGTACCCTCCCTGCAGAGGGCCAGGCTCCCTGGGCCACTGAGAAGGAGGGCAAGGGCTGGGAACTTAGAGGCAGCAGAGAGCAGGAACAGGAACCTGGAAGGGACGCTGAACAAGGCGTGAGGACAGGCAGCAGTGGGCCAAGCTCCATTGCATCCTCAAGTGGTCTTTCTGCTCAGACTTCCCAAGCCCCAGGGGCACAGGTGCAAAGACTGATGGACCCAGGAGCCCCCCCCTCCCCCATGGCTGGCTGTCTCCTCCTCCTAGCCCAACCACAGGCCTGGGCCAGCTCCTTTGAAGCACCTAGCATGTTCCCTGGGGCTTCTGGGAAAACCGCCTTGGTCCTAGTGACCCCTAAGCAGAGATTCTCAGAGCAGTTAGCTGGGCCATCCAGGGGCATTTCAAAGTCCTGTGGTCAGCAATGGTAAGTCAAGGGGCACCTGTTCCAAAACCCCTGCTCCCACCACATGCCTAGAGGTCCAGAGCTCCCGGGCTTGGAGTCAGGAGCTCTGCCTGAATTCTAGTCTCTCCCCCTCCCCCAGCAGCCCTGCATGCCTCCAGCGTCTCCCCAGGGCTCACCTACTCTAACTCTTCCTAGAGTTCGGCCAGGGAGGAGGTGGTAGGAGTTTTCCACTTTGATGAAATCACTAGTCCTTTACTTATTCACATAATTATTAGGTTTTTCCATACATGGAGCCAAAATCTGCTCCTGTACCTTCCACCCACAGCTCCCGGTCCTGTCCCAGTGGGGGGTGGGGCCTCAAGAAGAACAAGGTCAGTCTCCCTCCCCAGCCCGCCCAGACCCCTCCTCCTCTCCAGGGTAAATATGCCCAGGGGCTTCTGCTCTGCTCCTCTGCCTTTGGGCAGGTTCCCAGCTCTTTCTCTAATCTCTGAGGACCCACTGGCCCTGAAGGACAAAAAGAAGGCCGGAAACCAAGTGAATGGTCAGAGGAGGAGGAAGAGGAGGAGGAGGAAGAGGTGGGCCATGCAGGGAGGGCAGAAGACAGTCTGTGATGAGTCCTCTTACTGGCTGTCCCAGCCAGCCTCTGATTCCCCCTCCCCGCCATGGACAGGCTCTCAGACAGCTTCCCCTGCATCTGTCCATGCCCAGGTGACCAGGGCTCAGGGGCCTCTGAGAAGTCACTCGGGCTCCAGCCTCTCTGTCTGCTCTAGTTCTGAGGTCTCCCTCAGGGGCAGCATCACCTGCCAGCACCTGAGGTGGTTCTCTTGCCAGCTAAGGACCAGCACCCTCTTAAACCGTTTTACTTGTTTGTCTTTTCTGGACTAAAAGAAAGGCTGGCTGAGGCCTGGGGCCAACTTCTGAATGGCTGGGCTTCAGACAGGGCCTTCAAGGCCAGGGGCTCAGCAGATCCCCATCCAGCATCTTGGTAGCTCAGGCCCCTGAAGGGTGCCTGGGCCCACAGGACCCCGACGATTCAGACACCATCTTTCCCTGGTTGAACTGTGCCAGGGCTGGGGGAGGAGGGAGGTTGGCCAGGAGGCAGAGAGGCCTGCCACCCATCCAGCCAGGATTGGGAACACCCCAAGAACCCCCAGCTTCCCTGTGCAGGTCCCAGAACAGCGGCCAAAGGAATGACAAAAGCGTGGCTCCTCCAATGAGGAGGCTGGCTGCCCAGCTCCAGGCCTCCCTCTGCTGGAAACAACCCCACAGCGTCACCTCTTCCAAATCTAGGGACAAATCCTGAGCCTGGCAAACCAGGCATCTGCTCAGCTCGGTGCCCTGCAGCCTCCCAAAGGCCCAGCCCAGCGATGATGCCCACCAGGCCCAGCAGCAGCCATGGTGATCCTGGCCTGGCACCTTCCTCTGGAAGCTGCAGAGAGTCCGACTGCCTGCAGCTGGTGCGCATGTGGCAGATTCACAACTGGGCATCATGGGTATACCCAGGAGGGGCCGCCTGGCTCTGCTGGCCTGGCTGGGGAGAAGCCCCCCCACCCCCACCCCCACAATAAGCCTGGAGCATGCCTGGACTCAGCTGAGCCAGCCTAGGGATCCATGCTCCCTGGAAAGGGCTTTCCCTCAACCCTCCCCCATCCTTTGTGGGCTGAGCTGTGGTCCTGCCCCCTCCCCTCCTCCAGGCAGGCAACAGTCATGTGACCAAGCTCTCAGTCAAAGGGAGAAGTGGGAGCTCCCAGCTGGCTGCCCTAGGGACCTGCAGAGAGGAGGCCTAGTCTGCTAGGCCCTGGGAAGGCCTGGATCAATGGCTGACTGCTGGGGTGGCAGCAGCTGCGGCCAGGGGGCCTTGCACTGGCTCTCTGACTGCCAGCCAATCCCTTCCCCTGCCCCTGCAGTGCTGGGCAGCTAGGCTCCAGGGCACCCTGCCCCTGAGGGGAGTCCTGCTGCTTGAGGAGAGAAGGCCAGCGGCCCCGCCTTGACCAGCCATTGGCCCTGCCCAGGCAGCCAAGGATCTCGGGACCCCTGGTGCTACAGAGCCTCCCCTGAGGAGAGCCCTGCCCCGGCAGCTCTGCCAACAGGTGCCCAGCCACCAAGGAGGGAAAGCTGAGCAGGGCCCAGACAGGCCCCCAGGCCCATCCCCTTAGAGGCTGAATGCACCAAAGAGCAAGGGCAGAGCCACCCCCAGGGACTCAAGGCAGTGTTGGCAGCCTCAGGGAGCCGAGGGAGAGGCTGGACGAGGCAGCTTTGTTTCCAGCAGGGCCAGCCCGAGGGAGGCTTTGGGGCCTGACTCACAAGGCACTGGACTGGCACCCAGGAAACCTGGAGTGGAGCCCAGGCTCTGCCTCAGCCCTGGGTTCCTTTCCTATTCTATAAAGGAAGAAGTCAAAGATTATAAACACTGGTTGTTCCCTCACCCACGTCTCACGTGAAGAGGTGGCCACGTCCAAAACCACGCCCTCCCTCCGCCAACACGAACTGGGTGCATCCATCCTTCCTGCCAGCCCCACCAGAGTGCTCCCTCACCTCCCCCTTCCTCTCCAC